CAGCTTCTGATGCCTTGGAGCCAGAGTGAGCTGTGTTCTCCCGGCTAAGCACATCTGTCCCGTTCTCATCTGCTCAGTGACGTCATCTGTCCAGTCTAAGCTCATGTGTCATCTGTTCAAACTTTTTACCAATCCTCTCCCTCCTGTTTTTGACCCCTCTGTGCCCTGTACGTATTTGTTGTCATGGTACCTATCACACTGAGGGCACTTAGGTACTTACATTTCTGCTTCCCTATCCTCGGGGGAGAGTTTGTTGGTGGTGAGACCTAGGTCTTATACATTGGGATTCAATCCCTGGCATTTGGGGCTTAGCAATTGTTCAATAAATGTTTGTTGAAGGAATGGATGAGCCCTCCTCATCTGACCTCACATTCTCAGAAAGTAGACAGAGAATCTCTAAGATATTGGATGGTGTTGAGGAGCGTGTTGTTTTCCCCTTCCAAAAGGGGCCCTAGTATCTTCTGCAAGGAGAGAAAGCAGCTCACAGGCCAATACCATCTTCCTTAACTATAGCAGCTCTGTGCTCCGGGGGGGAAACCTAAAGATAAACTGTATCACAACCATGGGCTGGCTTGGTGAACTATGCGTTTTTAAGCCAAAATGTGACTTTAGATTTAATGGGGAAAACACTAGGTTTCAAGCCAGAAGATTGGGGCCTGAGCCTGGCTTCCAGAAATTATTAATGCATGATTTTCATCATGTTACATCTCTGAGCTCCAGCTTCCTCCTCTCAGAGCCCAGGAATGAAAGGTCCTGCTCACCTACTCCTCAGGGTTGCTCTAGGCTGAAATGAGGTTCTGTGTAAATGTTCTCTGAACTTCTGTGGTGCTGGGTAAGCCCCATTGTCCTTTCGCTTGGGGCCCTACTTGGGAGGGAGAATGTGCCCCGTGCCTCAAACCTCCCTGAGCCATCAGGCTTTGGGCAGGCCAGCTGGGAGCCTTCAGCAGAGAAGGAAGGCACCACTTAGACATCTGCATAGGCAGTTTTTAAACACAGAGAACATGGAGGAAATACCACAGAATTTATGGAGTGAAAGCTTTAAAAAGAAACACAAGACTTAAGTCAAAACAGTTGACTCAGGTCTGGGGGAGGTGTTTGCCTGGATGTAGGAGAAAAATGGGGTGGACTTGGGGTGGGTTGAGACAGAAGGAGCAAAGCTCTGTGGGGTGTCCTACCAGGTGGGGTAAGTGGGCACCTCGACACATAGCTCGAGGGAGGGAGAACTGAAATTGCCTTTAGGGAGGGAAGCACCCACCAGCCTTTTTGGAACGCATATCTTTGGGTGCCCCACTCCCATTTCTAAGACTTTCACTTGGGATGTCCTTCCACAAGGCCATAGCAATATGTACAAGGATGTTCACTGCAGCCTCATTTGTAGTTGGGAATGCTTGGAAACAATTCAGATGCCATTCGGTGAAGGACAGGCTAAATGAATCACAACACATCTGTACCATGGGATTCTAGGAAGCCAATGACACACATCTCTAGGTGTGACGTAGAAGGATATGCATGCTACAGCAAGTGAAATAGACCAGTTGTGGTAGGGCATGGGTAGGATGATCTTGTTTTTATAAAAACTGAGAATATAGACGACTACTACTACTCCTCCTCCTACATTTGTATTTGCAAAGAAAAGAATGTGAGAGGATATACGCTAATTTGTTGACAGAGTTTATCTCTGGGAGTCGGAATTATAGAATGTTTTTTATAAAGTTCTAAAAATTTGATTTTTTGAAAAGAAAATATTCAGGGGTGCCTGGGTGGCTCAGATGGCTAAGCGTCTGCCTTCGACTCAGGTCATGATCTCCAGGTCCTGGGATCGAGCCCCACGTCGGGCTCCCAGCTCAGCGGCGAGTCTGCTTCTCCCTCTCCCTCTGCCTCTCCCCATGCTTGTGTGCTCTCTCTCTCTCTCTAATGAATAAATAAAATCTTAAAAAAAAAAGAAAATATTCAGAGAGTAAAAGCCTGATGTTTAATTATGATAAACATCATGGCGACAGTCTGTCCTCCATTGTGGGAAAACCCCAAAATGTCCGTATATAGCATCATAGATTTCAAGATTGTGATACATTCCTAATCATGTTACTCCCTGATAAAAATCCTTAATATCTTTCATATCTGACCCTCCCACTCCATCTTGGTTAATTTACTCTCTACAATTCACTGAGTGTTATCTCTGCTTTGATGCTAGTGTGGAAAGGGTGTGATGATCTCTCCACAGCATTCACAGCTCCTCCAAATCACAAATCACATAGAAAGGGCTCCAAAAATATTAGTCAGAGGAATGAATGAGTGAACTCAGTCACTTGGGGAGCTGGCAACCCCTCAAGGAAGTCAGACCTCTCGGAACTGGCCACTAACATTCAGAGGTGCTCTGTGAACAGGGCAGGGCCTGTGCCAGGCGCAGGCGGTGACATGAGGAATGTATTCTGGATGAAGAGCCTGAGGCGGGAGATGGGAGACCCAGGTTCTATCACTAGGCAGCTATGGGACTTTTTACCAGTCACTTTCCCTTTCTGGGTTTTTATTCCCTCCTCTGTAAATCAGAGTTGGGTTCAGTCAACATTTCTCAAAGCACGTTCCTAAGAACACTGCATCTGGGATGTGTTCACAAATGCCCCTTAACAAGAACTCTGTGGTCAAATACAACGCTGCTGTCTGCATGCCACTCTCCGAGCTTCACAATGCACATTAGCAAGTTCAAGTCTCCGAGAGGTCTTTCAGGAAATAAGCTTACTTATCGATGCTTACACCAGCATTTTCTTGTATTTATTTCACCTTGGAGTCTTTAAAAAAAAAAAAAAAAAGTTTTTTTCATGAGCATCTCTCTGATACGTCCTCCGGCCTTAGTAATAGCTGAGGTCCTTCCAACTTTCTGAATCCGTGGCCATGATGATTTCCTTCCTCCACACTTGGTAGCTCTGCCCCCAAGCCCCATCCGGTGGCTCCTGTGGTTGAAAGCATTGTATTTCAGGTGACCCTTGATGAAGCATAGCTCTGTTTTGTAAGCGGGGAATACACAGACCCCTTACCACCTCAGCACGGTCCTGATCGCGTGGGACGGAGGAGATACAGAATACGGAGAAGGGAGGGGATGTCCAAAAGGGCTGGGCTGGAGTGTGGGGCACTTGGGGTGCAGCTCTTGGGGGCACCTAAGTAGAAATGAAAAACAGGGAGGCAGGGCAGCTGGTCAGAGAAAAGGGAAGTATTGAGAAGGTACTTGGCCCTCGTGTGGTTCGCTATCCTGTTTGTGGCTGTGGTTCATCTCTTCCTCTGGATTTAAATACCATTTGTATATTGATGCCTTCCGTGTTTGAATATAATCTTTTGATTAGGAAAATGGACTTTGGAGTCATACATCCCATGTCTGAGTTTCTTTTATAAAAGGGGGTTACTATAAAGCTTGGCCACATAGTGTTGTTTATGAGGACTGAATGAGTTAACACATATGAATGCTCTTAGAATAGTAACTGGCACGTAGTTAGTACTCCATTAATGGCATTATTGTTATTAATTATTATTTATGTTTTCAGCCAAGATCCCTCTCCAACTTGACAGCTCCACTCAGATGTCTCCCAGGCATTTCAGACTAAACAGGACCCAAACTGAACTCTTGATTTTTCCCACCAATACCCCATCTTCCCCATCTCAGTAAATGTCACCTCTATACATCAACCCACAGCTCAAGTCAGGAGCCCAGGAGTCAGACTTGTTTCCTCCTTCCCCTTCCCTGTCACATCCCATCCACTGGGAAATTCTGCGGTCTACTCCTAAATATCGTTCAAATTCATCTACTTCTTTCTACTTCCATCCCTGCTCCATCCAAGCAGGCTCATCTTGGGACAAATGAATAGTCTTCTAAGTGGCCTCCCTGCCCTTCCTCTTGCTCCTTTCCAACAAATTCTCCACACACAGCCAGAATGCTTTCACCAAACATAAATATGAGCGTGTTAAAACCCTAAGTGGCACGTAAAATGAAGCCCACGCTTCTCACTGTGGTTTTGTGCCTCTGGTGACGGTATCCATCTCTTAGGGAAGAGAGGCCTCCCCAAGCTGGTCTGCTCTACTTCAGGAGGACTGGCCTCTTTCCAGTACTGGCCTCTTTCCAGTTCCCACCACGGGACTTCTTTCCCACCTTAGAGCATCTGTCTGTGTCACCCTTTTTGCCCATGGCTCTTTACATGATGGACTCCTCTTCAACAGAGAATCTCAGCTTCAAGCTTTCCCTTTCCAGACAGATTTCCCCTGCAACACTCCCTTAGTGGGTCTCCCCATTTGTTCTTAGTCCTAGCCCTGTGTTCGTGACCTTCACAGTAGGGCTCTCAACTTGCAATTACTTATTTATTTGTCTACCTGTTTATTGTCCTTCTCTCCCCTGAGACATTTTCCCAGAGCCTGGTACAACTTCTATTTTTCAAACACTGTCAACTCAGCACAGAGCCTGGTCACCCATATATATTGCATGAATGGATGAATATCATGACTCACTCTCTGATACATCCTCCCTATTACTAAAAGTGTAATACGCTAATAAGCAAAAAATGGTTCAGTCTGCTTCAGTCAGATAAGCTCAGAACTGGAACAAAGGACCCATGCATGAGCCTGCGGACGCACTTTTGGAGAAATCCTCCAACCCATGATGAGAATGCTGACGCAAGGCAAGATCTTTGGTCTGTTCCATCAGCCGGTCACCAAGGAGCCCTCGGACCCCAGGAACCAATGAACTTTGTGGGATGGATGTCCTCAGTGCCACCAGCATTTTCCATCAGGCTGATATCTGACCCCAATTTCTTCTGGGACATTCAGAATCTCCGGACCCCATATGTTCATTGAATTATGAATTTATTTTTTTGAAGTGGAGTCTTTCTCCATAGACTACTGGTCGGAGTAGAAATCTATGGTTGCAACCATTTAGCATCTCAGCCAACATGGGACCATTCCTTCTGCTAATTCCCTGGGAAGTTAACATAAATGTTTATTGACAGTGCAGTCCTCAAGAAAATAAAGTTGCTGATTCATTGCCTTATGCTGAAACCCTGTGTTTTTTCCCTCCTCTTCCTTCCTCTTTATAAGGAGACACTCTGACGGAGAGCACATTTTGGGGACCCACTTGACGTGTTGTGGTCTTGGTTGCCTGATCCTTCTTCCATCTGCAGATCGTGGTCCCTGTAACAGCAGGGGGATCAGCCTCCCTCTTTCCTCTGGAGGATCGCCCTTCTAGAGACTCTGAGGAACAATGGAAGTCTTGGGGTTTCTCAAACTGGAAGTGAATGGCCCCATGGTGACAGTGGCCCTCTCAGTGGTCCTCTTGGCCCTCCTGAAATGGTAAGTCAGCCGGCAAGTTCCCATGACCGTGACATTGTCGGTAACAGCAGCCCTGGAGCTTCGCTGGAGCCAGGGCGGGGGATGTGGGAGTATGTTTTTCTTCTCTTCTAATCTAGAGGGAGTTGAGTATTAACACAGCTTCAGAATTAAAAGCAAACAGCCAGGTTAATCTTTTGCTAAAATGCATGAGATCGAGGTGTCAGGAAAGGCTGGTGATTCAGTGACTGAGAACGCTACACATAATTAAGTTTGAAAGATGGAAAAAGAACAATATTGGAAAGGTTTGGGGAGAAGTTATTTCCTCGTAGGCATTGTATCTTCTCACCTCGCTTTTCTGAGACCCACTCCTTGTGGTGGATGTGCTGTGGATTCAGCCTCTCGGTTCATATGACATTAAAAACAAGAAGGACGTAGGAGCTGTCTGGCAACATGGGCCACTTTGCAGGAGGCCACTGGTCGGGATTTCTGTAGGTTTAAGGACAAAGTGGTGGAACTAATTTCCTAGTTTTCTGCTATTTGATAGAAAGGAATGGATTCTGATGAACGGAGTGCATGAGACCCTGAAAGGATCTCAGATTTAAACTGAGAGTAGCTCCCTGTTATCTGGTTAATTCCATAGGAGGCTTTTCAAAGTTTGGCTCTGCCCAAGGCCTGTGTCTGTAGATGGAAGGGCCCACAAGATGCTCCATTTATGCATATTCACCTGGCTGGTTAAACTTACTATAGTCACCCACTCGATCCAAAGCACCTGGATTTACGTGGCTCCAGTTTTTGAGGGGAAAGTGGAAAAATTAATGGAGAACTCAAGTTTGAACAGAATTTCAATTTATGTTTCCAGTGGTAATAAATCCTCTCCTAGATTAATAACTGGGAAAGCACTTTGAAAAGCATCAAGCATTATGCAAATGTGAGGTATTATTCTTTTGGAATTTGCATAGCTGAAAATGGAATTCACGTTTGATGTTCTATGATGATGAAATGACTTCTTGGAAATTTGGCTCTGAAACTCAGCTTCAGTCCCATTGCTGTTTTTGCTTTTTAACTGGTTTAATTATCTTTTGAACTTTTCTCAGTGTAGCTTATCGTGCCTTGAAACCAGCCATATACAAAACCAGGAGCCACGAGTAGCTCTCTTTCCCTGCCCCACCCCATTCACCCATCTCAAAGTGTTCCTATGCTCAGGGATGTACACACCACAGTGCCGACACATAGTAGGTGCTCAGTAGATGGCAGCCACCATCATTAACTGCCATCTATGTAAGCTAACTGCAGAGGAAAACAAGTCTTTAGTGCTCCAGGTATATTTTAAATTTCTTCTTCATATGATTATGAATCTATTTTCCCATTGATAGCTATGCTCTGACCATGGTTCTCAAAGCATGTCCCGCCTGAATCCTCCAGACCGTTTCACAGCATTAATGTTGGTATTAGAAACTTTTCTACACGATTCTGTCTTTGTTTTGTTTTTTTTCATTTCTGTGTTCTCAGCTCCCAGCCCAGTGCCTGACTTACAGCATGGCCTCGATAAATGTTTGATGAATGAATGAATGAATTGCATATACTAATGTTGCTCTGGTTGTGGAAAGGGGCATGTGTCCTGACCGGATGGTTATAATCAGTGTAGATCAGGAAGTCGCCGACAATAACACTGCACCATTCAGCAAGGCAGCTGTGCATCTGTAATCCACTCCCAGGGCCATATTAATAACCTGGGTCAAAGACACAGAGATTAGATAAAGGCATGAAGCAGAGGTGGTAAATAGGAAGTGAAAGCGGACTTCCATGTGCTATCTCAAAAATATTTGTTGATCTGTTAATGTATGCCAGGCATGGAGTGGAGGCTCTCTGGTACAAGGTCAGGAAACAGGAGGTCGGGATCAGATGCCCAAGGCAGGGGGATACATGGAGGCTCTGGGGTAAGCATGGTGTCTGGAGGGAATCATGCTGAAGGAGAGCAGGCAGCAGAAGATGGTGGCTGTGGCCGTGGCCCTGGAGCTCCTGGGTCTATCCCTTGATCCAGCTCAAGGTAACCATTCTCGGGCTCTCAACCCTCCTCTTCCAGGCAAGGCTCTAGGTAGCCTCTGAACAACAGACTCCTGCTTGAATGAGGTCGGGCCTCCCCTCCTGCTTCATTCTTTTGAGAGGACTTGTGGGAGAGAGAGGGGTGCTCAGGGAAAGCTGGAGGTGGACAGATCCCCATAGCCATCTTGCTCCTACGAAGAAACTGTGGAGGGCGGCATGTCCTCACCAAATTCCTTTGTCTTTCCTTTGAGAGTCATCTTGGCCATTGGGCCAGGTAAGATTGTCATGGAGAGCCTAAACTCTGAGAAAGTAAAATTAGGAGGACGGCTTCTTGCCTCCTCAACTGGCCTAAGAGTTCCTGCCAGGGAGGGGTGAAGTCTCATGTCTCATGGCAATTCCAGAAATCTCTATCCATGGCACAGATGTCCTTCTAGCATTTGGTTTAACGGGGGTAAAGGTGAGAGGTACACATTCATGAGCCCAGCACCCAGGACTTAGGGTTCGGTTCCTGCCTCTTTTGGCAGACTCCTCTCCCCCATCCTAACCCCCTAACCCGTTCTGAAAGTGGTCATGTTGCTGCATGCGTCCTTCCTTTGCCCTTCCATGCTTGGAATTCCCTTCCTCTTCTCTTTCCTTCAGTGCTCAGTTCAGGGGCATCTCCTCATGGAAGCTTCTCCTGTTTGTCTAGGGCACTTACGAGCCCCCACTCAGTGCTGCTTTTTTCATATCTCTCACCAACCCCCCACCCCCCCAATGCCCAGCATGTGGCATTGGTGCAGGTGCATAGTAAATGTTAGCTGAAGGCTAATTCCAGCTTCTGATCTCTGCTGGTATTTTTCTTGCTGGTTCTTCTCTTAGCCTTCACAGATCAGTACAGATCTTAACAGTTGTGCCTACTCGAGTCACCCCTTTTCCTGAAAGCCTGTTGTGTTTTCAGTTTGTACCAACTCGGTGACCCCTTTTTAAATTGTTGCAGGCTTGCTGTTTCTGTAGCCCCAGACACCTTGTAGAACAGAGACCATGACGTGTACTTAATAAAGGCTTAATTATGACGTGTATATGTGAATTTGGAAAGAAGAAGACAAAAGAGTCAATTTCATTTAAAAAGAGACCATTATAAAATAGGCATAGCATATTGCAATAGTTTTCCTCAAGGTGCATTTGACACAATTTTCAGCAACGCTTATTTAAATCTACAGTTGATGGGGTATCAGGAGATCAGAGCTGCTCCAACCGGGGCTGGAGATGGAGCAGGAATGAATATAGAATGTATTAGCCAGAAGTACGTGAAGCACATACAAAGGTGATTAACACACATGACAAGACATTTTCAAAGCTCATTTTTCTGGGTAAAATTGTTTGAAAGTCTTACTTCTGGAAGAGATTTGATGTACAAGAAATAAGTTGTATGAACTCAATATTGCTAGAGGCAACCTTAACTTCTAGTGTATTTAAACTTTCAAGCACACCTAATACTTGGCAGCTGGATTCCCGTTGGCAAAGATTGCTTTATTCTTTAAAAGAGTATAAGGAAGTGGCCCAAATATTAACAGTGGTTTTTCTTCCTTCGTGGGATTACGGATGATTTTTATTTCTTTTTTTAGTCTTTTGACAGCTTCCACATTTATTTCATGAGTATGAATTACTGAGCAAAAAATACAAAATAAAAAAAGAGAGAAACTTTATTAAAAAGAGGGGGAAATTGCTCTTCTCTACTAGTGAAGAGGAAACCAGTTTTATGCTTTGGGTGTGGCATTTTCAGGACTATAATCTCATTATTTCTACCAATAGAGTAGAATGTACAAGGGGAATTTGGAGTAATGGGAGAGCTTCTTGGCTAATGAGGCAGTGCAAAAAGTACTCCATTAGGTAGCTAAACAGTCAAAGAAGGTAAATATATGAATACACTGGAAGTTGAGAACTGCTGTCTTGGAAAGATGCAAGGGCTTTTAATGCCAGGCTGCATTTAAAGGTCAGGAACCTAAGACTCAGAGGGTATGAATCAACTGGTTGTTAAAATAGGAATCAGGCTGCTTTAGGGCTCTGATCAAGTCTCATTCTAACACCAGGCTAAGATTGGTTAAGACCAATAAAGTGTTATTGGTGATTATTAAGACTTATGACTATAATGAAAATCACTGTACCCGGAAGTGTCTTTCTCAGAGAGCTTGCTTTACATACGGGAAGACTAATTCTAAGCCCAGACCATGTCTAGCAATCTAGATAATCTAGTCCTAGACTATATTCAAAAGAAACCATTGCTTTCTGGGAGGCAAGGAAGGCTTAATATCCACCAATCACTCAACATGATACACTGCACTAATAGAATGGAGCAAAAAACCATATAATCATCTCAATAGATGCAGAAAAAGCACTTGAGAAAATTCAACTTCCTTTCCTGATAAAAATTCTCAATGGATTAGATATAAAAGGAATATAACTCAATATGATAAAGATTGTATATGACAAGCCCACAGATAACTTTATACTTGACAGTGAAAAGATGAAAAGTTTTTCTCTAGGATCAGAATAAGACAAAGATGCCCACTCTTACCACTGCTATTCAATATAAAGCCAGAAGTCTTAGCCAGAACAATTAGGCAAGAAAAAGAAATAATAAGCATCCAAACTGGAAAGAAAAAAGTAAAACTGTTTGTAGATGACATGATCTTGTATATAGAAAATGCTAAAGACTCCATTAAAAAGCTGCTAGAGCTAATAAATGAATTCCATAAAGTTGCAGAATACAAAATCAAACATATAAAAATCAGTTACATTGCTTTATACTAGCAACAAACTATGTGAAAAGAAATAAAGGAAACAATCCCAGTTACAATAGCATCAAAAAGAATAAAATACTTAGGAATAAATTTAACCATGCAGGTAAAAGATCTGCACACTGAAAATTATGATATTGATGAAAGAAACTGAAAAAGATACGAATAAATGGAAAGATACCCGTGTTCATGGATCAGAAG